AAACTAATTAAATAAGTACTAATTAAAAACCATGGTCAAAAATAAAAAAAATTAGAAAAGATAAATTTATCAATAAAATTAAAAAATTTTAAATTCACTAACGATTTAATATAAAAAGTTATTTTAAGTAACTTTTTTCATTTACTAACAATTTAAACCCTTATTGCTATCAATTAGTTTCAAATCGTTAAATAAAAAATTTCATTAAATAATTAATTTGTAACAGATTTAAAATAAATAAATTTATCGACCACTTATTTTTAGTGATTCAGAAAAAATCACAAACAATTATCTCTAAACCGTTATACCAAATGGACTCTAAAAAACATAAAAGAAATATTTTCTTTATACATCTCAAAATTAAAAGGGTTTGTCTAATATATATGATATACATCAAGGATGCATTAATTGCATTTTTTTCATTAATTTATATAAAAAATCATAAAAACTAACTTTATTTTCGATGTCAATACCACGTATATAATTTTAATTGAGAGATTGGTAAAATTAAAATCAATATTTAATTTTTTTATAACATTAATTTATATAAAAATATATTTATTATAACTTTATTTTCAATGTCAATAATACGTATATAATTTTAATTGAGAGATTGGTAAAATTAAAATCATTATTTAATTTTTTTTATAACAATTAATAAAAAATGTAATTAATATATATTTTTTATTAAATTATCAATATTTAAGAGTTACATTAAATTTTGATTAATTTGAAATCAAATCTTATCAAAACTTATAAGAGTAAATTCTCACAGCATTTATTTTTTTATTTATAAGATTCTAAGTCTAAACCTTACTTATGAAGTCATTAGTGTAATTAATATATTCTTAATAAATATTATAGAGAAACTTAATTTTTTTAAAAATGAAACGTGTAAAGTGTTTAGATGGAAAAAAAAAGGTGTAAAATGCGTTTGATTTCAATGGAAAGTGGTAGCAAATAAATATTTTTTTGGATTTTAGCCTTCAATAGAGGGTATTTGATTAGCAATTAAAATAGATTTTTTTTTGTCATTTATTAAATGTTATTCCTTTTTTTTTTTTTCTGGTAGAAATATTAAATGTCACTCATTGAAAATGATTTGATATTCACGCCTGATTTAATGTATTGGTACTTCCTTCTATTGTTCATTTCACTATGTACGTACACAAATTATAGGTAAAAATTTATTTTTAGTTTTTTATCTTAATAAATTTGTAAATTTTACTTTTTTATTTTATATTATAATATTTTTAGCCATTTACTTTAATAAGTTTATAAGTTTTAGCCCCTCACCTTATATTATAACACTTTTAGCCCCCCACCTATATGAATGGAAGAAAATAACTCTCACTTAACATTAGATTATAACATTTTATTAATTCTATTAGATGACTGTTAGATACTATGATACTTTTAGACCTTTCACGTATATAAATTGAAGAAAATAACTCTCACTTAACATTAGATTATAACATTTTATTAATTCTATTAGTTGACTGTTAGATACTATGATACTTTTAGACCTTTCACGTATATAAATTGAAGAAAATAACTCTCACTTAACATCAGGTTATAACATTTTGTTAGTTCTATTAGCTGACTATTAGTTCTGTTAGTTGATTGTTAATTCTGTTAATTGATTGTTAACTCTGTTAGTTGATTATTAATTCTGTTAACTGACTGTTGGTATTTATTATAAAAAACATGAAATTTAAATTTAATTTTATTTGTCAGTTCCATTAATAGAATACTAACGAAACACTAACAATCAGTTAACAGAGTTAACAGTCAACTAATAGAACTAATAAAATGTTATAAGCGGACTTTAAGTAAATGTTATTTTCTTCGATTCGGATATGTGAATGGTTAAAAGTGTCATAATATAAAGTGATGTATTAAAACTTACAAACTTATTAAAGTAAAAGGTAAAAAGTAAAAAGTAAAAATTTAAAAGTTAAAAGTGTTATAATATAAAGTAAAAAATTAAAACTTATAAATTTATTAAAATAAAAAACCAAAAATATGTTTTAACGCAAGTTCTAACTAAAACTAGCGGCCTTGTATGCATCTTGTACTGGTAAAGTGAACTCCCATGCCCATGGGATTTGCGGAATTTTTAAATTTACCCTTAAATTTAAGTAATAAACAAATTTATTTTTAAATAAAAAATAAGGATAAATTTATTTATAAAATTTTTAATTTAGACCCATTATTCAAAATTTATTGTGTAACATCATTTAATATTAATAATTTATTAATTTATTACTTTTTTGATAAATTTATTATTAACAAATTATTAATATTAAATGACATCACATATTAAATTTAAAATAATTTTTTTAAATAAAAAATTTTATAAATAAATTTATTTTTATTTTTTATTCAATAATAAATAATTTTTTTAAATAAAAAATTTTATAAATAAATTTATTTTTATTTTTTATTCAATAATAAATCTATTTCTACTGCCTAATTAATTTTAGAG